ACTGAGTCCAGAAATCAATATTCTAAGTCTACGTATGCACGCTTTTTTATAATATCTACTTGATTGTCAAGTTTTATCAACGACCATAGCTTCATTTTTTCGTATATCAGATTTATATACACATACTTACTCATGCGCATATTATAAATACTGCTACATTCAGCATTAATAACTTCATTAAACGACTTCTTTAGTACATCAGTAAAAATCTTGTATCATATATTTATATTCAGCGTTGCAGGCTTGTTCATTCTTGTGTGACTCATACATTTCCACATTAAATATGTTATTCCCTGTCAAGCCAAAATGTGTACTACATAAGTGCTTAGTACCATATAGTTAATTGTTACGATACGATGAGTCAGTATAGAAACTGATCTGACTTTCACGTTAGATCTTATCGATTACACAATGACGTCATTACATGTTCTATAATTTTGGTATGAGGTCTAATATTTTAGTAGCACTAACAACAAACTAGACCACAACTCTACACATCCACTAATAACTCTCACATTACTAGAATTGGTGCTGTAGACTGATCAGACTGACACCCATTGGGTATAACGAAATATCGAGAATCGCGCCGATTCAACAAAAAGTGAATGCGAAAATCTCAATTGGTCTATATAAGGTTGTGACATCACTGTTATATGTGCTGTACAGGATGAACCATAAAACGTCGACTGAGTGCATTGACAAGAGCGTGCATGATCAGGTCAGCTCTCGCGAAGGTTGACTTTACAGACGGGGCGATGATCGAAGGCGTGGACGTAGGATAAAAAAATCAAAGAAAAGGAGAAAAGTGTAGCATGCATGTAGTATGGGGAAAGAGTCCTATACCGTATCCGTTGTTGGTTGAGAGGTTAGTCGTGAAAGCGTACTCGGTGACCTGAACGTGAGACAGCAGTCTCGTTCCTACCTCGTGAGACTAAAATCTCATCCGAGGTCAAGGGCGGCGTGATCTGCTGATCTGGGCGTGAGACTGAAGTCTCGTCCGTAGACGGTGAAGATGACACGTGCTGTTGACTGGGACGGGAGAATGAGGCTCAGGAGTATCTAGCGTGGGATCCGAAGTAAATTTATAGATCCCGCTAGAAGATTTGATGAGTCTAGCATCTAGTCTCAGCTTATCGGGTAAGGTACTGTCATCGACGTGTTCTGGCTTGAGACGATCAATGGTGATTATCTCAACGCGGCCATGTCGGTCAACCTTGAAGGTCTTTTCGTGACGGGAAATCACATGAAAAGGTCCTTCATAAGGCTGTTGCAAAGATTTACGTACCCAACCTATTCGTATGAAAACATGTGAACAGCTAGATAACTCTCGAGTTAGAACGACCTGTCGATGTTGTATACGATTTGATACTGGAGGCAGTGTTTGCATAAATTCAGACAACCATTGGACGTAGTCTGACTTACAAAAATTGTTACTTCTCTGTGGTATGAAAAATTTCCTAGACAGACTCAATGTCATGCCGTATACAAGTTCAGCGACGGAACATTGAATATTTGCCTTTGAGCTCGTCCTGATACCTAAGAGGACGAGCATTAATTTTTCATACCAATTGTTGCTTTCGTGTGCTCGAAGAGCACTTGTGGGTTGGTGATGAAACCTTTCAACTAAACCATTTGATGCTGGGTGGTAGGCGGTAGTGCGTATGTGTCCCGTACCAAGCAACCGGATCAGCGAGGAGAATAATTTGGACTCGAGTTGTTGTCCTAGGTCAGTCGTGACAGTTGAGGGACAACGTAGCGGTGAGCAATTGTCTCCGCCGTAATAGACGTGATAAGAATAGCTTCGTACTATCTTGTGAAACCATCGATGCACGTGAGTGTGTGATCATACCCGTGCGATAATGGCAATGGTCCTACAATGTCTATATGAACGTGATCGAAGCGAGCATCAGGCGTAGCGGAAGTGCCGATAGGGGCAGCTACGTGCCTGTGCACTTTCGATCGTCGACATTGTAAGCATTGCTTTACCCACATATGGACATCTTTATTGATGGACAGCCAGATGTATCGTGCAGCGATGAGGCGTATTGTGGCTGTAATACCTGGATGAGATGGACCATGAAGCGCATTGAAGACGAGGTGACGGTAAGCAGAGGGTACGATGGGTCGGGGAAGATCAGTAGAAGTATCACATAGGATATTACCTGAGCAAGTACCTGGGGTACTTCCTGGCTCTGAAGGGATGTAGAATGTTGGGCTTCTGTACATGAAAAATCACTTGCTTGGGCGCTAGCCATAGCAGGGAGATTGAGCACCGGTAAAGTAACTGCATTAACCTAGATACGTGATAGAACATCGGCAATGTAGTTCGACTCATCTTTGATGTGAAGAAGGTCTGTCGTGAATTGAGAGATATAGTGGTGAGTAGCGGTCGAACTTTGTATGCAGAGCATACATTAAAAGCTTATGATCGGTGAATAAGATGAAACCGCGACCTTCTACTGTGCGACGGAAATGTTTGATGGCACAGTAGGCTGCTAGGAGTTCTCGACCGAAAGCGCTATATCTCGTCTCCGTGGGAGTGACGCGTCGTGAGAAAAACTAGAGAGGTTGCCAACTTCCGGAGATGTTCTGTTGCATGGAGGCTCCTATGGCGAAATCCGATGCATCAGCCGCTATACCAAACGTGGCGGATGGGACAGTATGGGCTAGAAGTTTGGTTTGAGCTAGAGACGTTTTGACCTCTCAAAATGCAGTACGCGTGTCATCGTTCAACCCTAATTTGCATGGGTTACTGCGAAGTAAGTCGGTTAATGATCGCAACCGTTCTATCACGTGTAGGATGAGACGTCAGTACAAGTTTACTAAACCGAGAAACGCCTTCAGTTCCTTGAGTGTGGACGGTACAGTGTACTCCATTATTTCACGTACTTTATCCTCACAAGGTAGAATACCCTCTTGCTTAATAACGTGACCTAATAATTTTATTTCCGGTTTGCCAAGTTCACATTTGTCCGAGTTGATTATTATCCGAAAGGCGCTGGAATAATAGTGTTAGGTGCTGATAATGTTCATCTACGTTTGATGATGCGATTAGCAGACCACTAATATAGACATCAACAAAATCTAAGTCTCGTACTATGCTATCGATAAAACTTTGGAAAGTTTGGGCAGCACTCCGTAATCCAAATTGCATTCGTAAGAACTCAAACAGACCGAAAGGAGTCGTAATAGCGGTCTTCTCGATGTCTTCAAGAGCGACTGGGATTTCATGATATACTCGTACCAGATCGATCCTAGAAAAATTAGTCATGCCCTTGAGTGACGCCGTGATGTCATGTTTGTGGGGGATGGGGTAGCTATCAAACCGAGTAGCTACGTTTAGTGCTTGCACCTGTATCCACTAAGTACCTAGCGTTGGTGCGATAATCGTGCACGTAAAATAAACGACAAATCTGAGGTGAGGGGCCGGCCAGTACGGCTGGATTTACTCGCCGGCTCAGGAGTTTCCCGTCTTGTAGGAGCAAGGGGCTCGACAATGGCTGGCACCGGACCCGAAAGTATGGTGGAACCAGAACTCTCTTCCGGAGCCGCCTTCTGGTGTAGCTTGGAAGATGCCTGCTTAGGGCGAGTTGTTACGGCTTTACGGAGGCGTGACCTGGCTCGGGGAACGAAGAGTTCTGGTATATTGAATCGGTTTCGAAAAAAGAGACGGCTGTGGATAAATTTATCCCTATTAACCTTGAGCCGTAAGTCGACTGGCGTCGAGATCGATGTTCGAACGTGATGTCGAGGCAACTATATAGTTGTCTTGGTTGCTAGTCCTTGCCAACATCTTATCTGCTATAAGGACCACATGGGTGAATGGTGTACCCCCAAGCAGAGCCGTAATATTTGATTGTATAATTGCTGGTCGAGATTTGAGCTATAATTCCTTAAGGACTTCGCATTTGCAGTCGTAGATCCTGGAAGAGATTTCAGGCGCGTTAGGTGATGCTTCGGTTTAGCATCAGCCAGGAGATGACCAGCTAATAAATTCCTCAAACGTTCTTCCCTTGAAGGGAGGAAATGTCTAAGAATAGCCTCCTTCAGACGAATGTAAACGTTAGGTACATTTGCGTTGAGGACAACCGCACGGACAACAGATAAATGAGAACTTCATGTCGTTGGGGTATGGAAACTTGGCAAATCTGAATAGTATGTATCTGTACAGCGATTTTACATATTTAACTAACACCAACCAACCTGTGAATACAGGATTCTCAATTAGCGATCTTGCTCAAAAACACACATAATATACATTAGGACTATGCATCCAGGATTTGTCTTCAAGAAGTGAGAAATGTCGCTGTAATCACACAGAACGCCAGTGCAACCATTATTGTCAGAATTTGAGCATCGAACAATTTATAGTGAAAAGAAACAGACCCTTATCTCGAGAGCAAAAACGAATGACGCTTGATCGACAAATATTTCTAAGATCCTTACTTCAATAATCGTTTACTTTCTACTTGTCACCCTACAACAGCAAACTAGAGGATATCAAACTGCTTTAAAACGCAGTCATGGGTGCATTAACCATACTCTTTGCAAAGTCTCCTACCATATGCGTCAGTACAGACGTTCAGTTGTAGCTGTATTCTTCAAACCACATGTAATTCAAACGTCAAACATAAAGGTGATGAAAACGATGCTACTCAGGAGGAGTTCATTGATTTGTTTACATTCACAATTTTCTATTGCAATGAAACAAATGATCACAAATAGAGCGATTATAACCCACTAAGCAAATCAAGCTAGCACTTCGAACAGTGACACCGAGATCTCGGAACTTGAACATTCGACACCAACTCCAACCACCAGAATCCTTAACAAGACAAGTAAGGTTATCTCTAGATACCACTCTCACCTCCTCTTATCTACGTGGTACAGCTGAAGTAAACAACACAATAACTGAATAATAAAATTATATTTGGTGAAAAGCATTTGAAGTGAACTAGAAAGATAAATGATGTACATAGCTGTATCAGTATTCCACTTAATTATAATCGAATTCCTCTTGGTAGATTACGGACTAAAAGGTTAAACTCAAGCAAACCAGGAAAATACCAATAATTTCCTGTAACACATCGACTGAATACCATTATATTATCATTTTTCTTGTCACCACGGTGACCAATCATTCGATCTAGCATGAAATTGAAATTGTCTATATCTGCAGCGTATGCTATGAATAATAGACCAGCACCTCCAGATAGAGTTCCATATGGTTGAGCTTGTCGAACAATTCTATACTTCTTTTTAGCTTTAAACTCCGCAGCTGCCAGAATGAGATGAAAACAACAATTATTAACAATTATAATAGAACGTCAGAACAAATTGTACTCTATTCAATACATGGAATGTGAATGTCATATAATAACATACTATATCTTTAATGTAAGAATACAAATGAATTGGATGAAACGTAGGTTTCTTAAAAATAGGCTCAATAAGAAAATCATTCATAAACCGGTGAAAATTATCAACATATATCACATTCAATTGTGGAAGAGAATACTGACTAATCCTAACATTGAGTAAGATCAGTAGGAATTCAGTGTTAATTCATACAGACTGATCGAAAAAAAAACGAATTTCCACATTCTTTATTCCAGAATGTTACATTACTAAGATTTTAATATATGTGGGATATATGTCAACGAATTGGTCTCAGATATGTGGACGGCTGAATGAAAAGCACTGGGAAATGCAGAAGTTAACTGATACTCAATGTACTCCCTCCTTGACAGATTAGTGAATACGAAATTCTAAAGAAATTCAGATGTGGATGAGACATCTCTCAATAGCAATCTGGGGTTTAACTATAAGTATGTATTGACTTTACAACAAAAGCATTTGCGTAATGAAACACTTCAAGGAATATTCACATACAAGCTTAATGTAAACATGTTAGAAGTATTGCTTACATCCAACCATTCTGGCAACATGTGATGTATCCGGTTTTCTTATCAACTCATAGCTATCTTTTATAGTTCGACCAATCCATCGTTCTTTTTCCCCATCTATAAAACAAAATATGCAAAAATAGACTCTCAAGACATCTGTAATGATTATATTCAATCATCTCTCGTTTAATCGAATTTAAAGAGAAATAGAAACAAAGTATTGAATACACTCTGAAATTTCTTCTTCTTACACCCACATAAGGTGATATATTCACCATTCTTCTCACTTAGAAAAGTTGGTGAATCACAGTTTGACATTATTTTACAGGGTTATTATGATTCTTGCTTAGTACAATCTACAGTATACACAATCAAGAAGCTACATTTATAAACGACACAACAACAAATAACAAAGTGAACTCGGAAGGTTAGTTTGTTGCAATGAATCTTGATCAACCTGGTTGGGCTCATTGAACCTTACAAAACATGTCGTTATTCATTCCGTTTGAGCGTTGCGTTATACACTGTCTTTTTAGGATATCAGCAACTGATTGAATAGTCATGTTGCAACTAACTAACTAAAATTGTCATCAGAGATCGGAACACATCAGTATGAGATAAACACTGATCCATAATTACATTTGGAATAGATGTGTATACACATATGACTGCCTAATCAGATAATCAACCGGCGATAAAGGATCATGCATAGAATGCCATAATCACATATGGATGAACAGTAAGCATTATTTGCAGAAGTTGATTAAGAGAGGAAATGTTTGTTTAAAACTACACATTTCATTACTACTCCATTTCATCTAACACAGGTTTTATGACCAATAAGATGAAGTAGTTATTTATTGAGTGACAACTATTTTATTTACATTGTTTTTATCACAAAGCTATCGATGATAATTCACGATTACTTATCTCAGTTGACGTTTTCATTAAGATATATCTGGAATCCAAAGTCCCCTGATGCTTTCTGTGGGGATCTAAACTGCATTATCCATCAGGAAAACCAACTTAATATAGAATGACAATAGTTAATCCAAGCACTTTAGCTATAAAGTAGAACAAACACGGTCTGAAGAGTTTCTCAGTAATATAGAATAATTCATTCAACTTAAACTGAAAACAGAAAATTCAATTGATCAACCATAGATGCTTACTATTCATTCAAAACATCTCTTACCAGCTGTCTTATAGAGCAAACTCATTTTGCGAACCCATTTCTGAACAACAGCGTAACTTCCACCTGTTCGTTTGTTGATTGCCACCTCAGCTCGATCATCCATACGCTTAGGGTTCTCCGTGCCTTATTACAAAATAGGATACATATTGAAATGTTAAGCTTATATTGCATCGAAACTAGTTTTCATTATACGTATGATGTGAGGCGTTGACCTCAAAACTTTCACCAGTAATGTATCTTGATCACATAAGTGGTCATCGTGGTCTAATCTTTTTCAACATATGAGTAGATGGAAGCTAGTTAGCACTAATTTAATTTACATAAACCTAGCACCAATCATTCATAATCAAACTCAATATTCATGCACACTGAAACTTGTTCCTTATTATTTTTGACTATGAATATTTTTGACGGCACACCATGGAAATCACGAAACAATTGATAAGAACTTGATAGGTATATTACTAGTTTTTCATTAAATATGCATTGATTTTACACCAAGCAACCAATCTCAACAAGATAGGCAACTTTGATGTTTTTAACCGCGGCAAACTCAAAAAAGCATCTAGTCTCATTACAAAGGAAGATGACATCGACTGATTCTCGAGGTATTTCCAATCAAATATGTTTTTATTTGTGAAAAAGATACTAGAAACCACTAAGTAGGTTTGGCAGATTTATGGCTTTCGAACAAAACTCACTTTCAAAAGAGAGATTATTCTTGAATGCTCTTAATGATCCAAAAATTAGACTAAATAGTTAAAAACTCCGCAACTTGCAACACATTTTCGATGGAAATAGTCGACTAAACTACTTTTATAGGCAAAGGATTCTTTACGTCTATACAGGTCGCACATCTTTCTACATACAATTATAACATAATTCAATGACTAACATAGAAGTACGATAAACTTAATTGCATACCATCAACGAATCCACTCAAATCACGCTCATCGTGATACATCCAACCGTAAATATCTTCAAATTTATCCACACATCCAGGCGGCATATTCTGAATGATGGATTTTGCCAAATCAAACAACATGCCATGATCATTACACTTTGCATGGACAAATATATCGCCACCTACAACACTAATTAAACACTTGTTCTTGAGTGAAAGTTCGAAGTATCCGGTTAATCAATAGTATGTTACAAAACATCAATCTACTTAGATCAGGTGATTACATTACAAAAGTAACAATCACATACAAAACTCATTAAGAATTGTTCCGAAAGTCATATGAAACGCTTACAAAACCTTAGACAGTTGAATTAAAGATTATTTCACTCATTTGAATCGTGACGATGAATCCTGAAAACGAACAAATAAGTAAAACCAAACTTACCTGTTTTAGGCAGTTTACCAAACTTTCCAGATCTTTCTCGATATTCATATTTTTCGATACCTCTGAGTAGGAAATTAGGACTGATTTTTCTCAGATAGTCCATTCCGAACCCGACACCGTATAGAATCTCATTATATCTTCCACACATATGACGTGATTAAATCTGACTAACATACTTCTAAGATGAATGAACAAAGCATACACAGCATGTCGAGTTAGTACCATGAAGTATGAAATATATACAGTACAATTTCAGTATCCGAACGGTTATTGTGTACAGACCACTCTATGCATGCAAAACGTCGATATTACAATTATTTTTCAGACAGGTTTTGAATAAACCCAACATAACGAAGTCAGTTGTTCTCATTTACAATTCATTATAGCCTTACTCTGTGATATTCGCATCAGGTTCAAAAAGATGAATATTTTTATTAGGTTTAATCATTAGCTTCAACGTTGATAAATTAAGTCCTGAAAGGAAACGTGTTGAGTACAATATAGAAGCAATGTAATGACAGTACAGTGTCGACAAAGAACACTAATAAGATTAATTATAGAAGGGGTTTTGTGGAGATTTAGTATTTATCATTGTTGAAAGCGTGAGTCAATTGAAGCTAGACCACCATGGAAAACCTGGAAACACTGGACGGCCGTTTCGTCCTATTATGGGACTCCTCAGCAGTGCGCATCCACGAACCTGCTCTCGCGAGCGAGATTCGAACCCACGACCTACCAGTCTCGAGCCGAAGCCCTTAACCGATAGACCACTGAGCTGGCATCCAACGGTGTTAATGTCTAACTTCAACTGATCCACGAAGTTGAGCAACCATTCACCAATTGTCTTCAGTGAGTTCCTATCTCACAACAGACGTGGTTTTGAACTCCACTGGTCACTGCTTCTCACTAGAGCTCCTAGATATACTTCTCGAAATCACTAGTGAGCATATTATTATATTAATTATAGAAGGGGTTTTGTGGAGATTTAGTATTTATCATTGTTGAAAGCGTGAGTCAATTGAAGCTAGACCAATAAGATTAACAAACCATCTCAATTTACTTTATGCAGATTTTATATTGTTTGATTTCATATTATTTACAAAGTTTGCGAGATAGCACTAGTATTCAATGCGTTTATGATTGATTAATCAATCATAAATTGAAATTCCAAGTCATATCGACTTCGAAAGGGTGGAAGTACATTCTTCGAGAATGAAACACAAATATGATCATCACAATATCCTACATTATATTTTATAATACATAAACCTTGTTCGTTAACTGATCTCTACGTTACACGTGTCGTATTATACCAGACTGTAACTCAATTCTCACACAGTTGATCGCATTTTCTCATGATGCACTTACTTCTCGAGTGAAGATCGATTAGGCAACAGAAGCCTGACGAAACATCCTTACAAAGAACATAGTTGAAAACCATCTCAAATAATTTTCATCTACTTATAGAAACTCCGCCTGTAGCTCTTCTAGAGTTACTGCCGGTCCCAAGCCCGGGTAAAGAAGGAGGATTGGGCATGGGGTTAGCGACCCCATCCCGTAGAAAAGCTAACTCGCTAAAAAAACGCAAACCAGAAAAAACAATTCAAACCATTTAAACTCTGCCCTGGGAGTTGAACGAATAATTATGACGTCTCATGATGAAAGCGGAAATTCTTCGGAAGTCACGAGACCGATGCACCTTCTAACAACCAGAGCAACACTCTTTATAGGTACATGGAACGTCCGGACAATGTGGGAGACAGGAAAGACCAGCCAAATAGCAATTGAAATGAGGAGATACAACTTGGCAGTACTTGGAATCAGCGAAACCCATTGGACACAAACTGGACAACAAAGTCCAGGTACAGGAGAGATGCTGCTGTATTCCGGTCACGAAGGGGAAAATGCTCCACACACTCAGGGAGTTGCTCTAATGCTGTCCAAAGAAGCACGAAATGCACTTGTGGGATGGGAATCTCATGGACCCAGGATAATCAAAGCATAATTCAGAACAAAGAAGGAGGGGATCACAATGAACGTTATCCAATGTTATGCACCCACCAATGATAGCAACGACGATGATAAAGATCAGTTCTATGAAAGGCTGCAATCAATTATACAGAAGTGCTCACGAAAGGACCTCACCATCCTGATGGGAGATCTAAATGTTAAAGTTGGAGTGGACAACACAGGACATAAAGATGTAATTGGACGACATGGATTAGGAGAGAGAAATGAAAACGGGGAGAGACTTGCAAACCTATGTGCATTCAACAAATTGGTTATAGGTGGCACATTATTCCCACACAAGCGCATACACAAAGCTACATGGATCTCACCGGACCAAACCACAGTGAACCAGATAGATCACATCTGTATCAACAAAAAATTCCGAAGATCAATGGAAGATGTGAGAACAAGGAGAGGAGCTGACATAGCTTCAGATCACCACCTGGTTGTGGCCAAGATGAGACTGAAGCTAAAGAAAGACTTGACAACTGGACAAACAGCACTACAAAGGTCCAATACAACCTTCCTTCGAGATACTGACAAACTCCATGAATTCAAGATAACTCTCAACAACAGGCTCCAAGCTCTACAGGATCTACTGAATGAACAAGAAACTACTTTGGAGGACAACTGGAAAGGGATAAAAGAAGCACTAACTTCAACGTGTCAGAAGGTTCTTGGTCCTAAGAAACATCATCACAAGGAATGGATCTCTATGGGAACCCTGGACAAAATTCGAGAAAGGAAGAACAAGAAACTAGCAATTAACAACAGCCGAACACGAGCAGAGAAAGTCAAAGCACAAGCAGACTACGCAGAAGCAAACAGGGAAGTGAAGAAAAGCATTAAAGCCGACAAACAGAAATACATGGGAGAACAAGCAACGACGGCGGAAAAAGCTGCAAGAGAAAGGAATATGAAACAACTGTATGATACAATGAAGAAATTGGCGGGAAGATATAGCAAACCAGAGAGACCAGTCAAGGACAAAGAAGGAAAGACAATCACTGAGATTCAAGAACAGAGGAAAAGATGGACAGAATATTTTGAGGAACTGCTGAATAGACCAGCCCCATTGAATCCACCGAACATCGAAGCAGCCCACACTGACCTTCCAATAGATGTCACTCCACCAACGATCGAAGAAGTCAATATGGCGATCGTACAAATCAAAAGTGGGAAGGCGGCAGGACCTGACAGTATACCAGCAGAAGCACTGAAGTCAGACATTGAAATAACTGCAAACATGCTTCACCTTCTATTCAAGAAGATTTGGGAAGAGGAACAAGTGCCAATGGACTGGAAAGAAGGATATCTCATCAAGATACCAAAGAAAGGAGATCTGAGCAAATGCGAGAACTAAAGAGGCATCAGTTTGTAAGCAGTACCAGGAAAAGTTTTCAACAGAGTGCTGCTGAATCGGATGAAAGACGCAGTAGACGCCGAACTTCGGGATCATCAGGCTGGATTCCGTAAGGATCGGTCGTGCACAGACCAGATTGCGACACTACGGATCATCGTTGAACAATCAGTTGAGTAGAACTCATCACTATACGTCAACTTCATCGACTATGAGAAGGAGTTTGACAGCGTGGATAGGAGAATATTATGGAAACTTCTTCGACACTATGGAGTTCCTGAAAAGATTGTCAACATTATCCAAAACTCATACGATGGACTACAGTGCAAAGTGGTGCATGGAGGACAGCTGACAGATGCATTTCCAGTAAGGACCGGAGTCAGACAAGGCTGTCTACTCTCCCCATTCCTCTTCCTTCTGGTGATTGACTGGATTATGAAGAATTCGACATCTGAGAGGAAATACGGAATACGATGGACAGCTCAGAATCAATTAGATGATTTGGACTTCGCAGATGACCTAGCCCTCCTCTCTCATACACACGACCAAATGCAGATGAAGACCGCAAATGTAGCAGCAGCCTCCGCATCGATAGGCCTCCACACTCACAAAGGAAAAAGCAACCAATTTCAAGGTCAGAATTTTTAATACAAACGTCAAGACAGTCCTATTGTATGGAGTTGAAACGTGGAGAACTACTACATCCATCATCAGGAAGGTACAAGTATTTATAAACAGCTGTCTTCGCAAAATGCTCAACATCCATTGGCCGGATACTATCAGCAAGAGCGTTTTATGTGAGAGGACAAACCAGCAGGTTCCAGCTGAAGAGGAAATTAGGAAAAGACGTTGGAATTGGATCGGACATACATTGAGGAAATCAGCAATGTGCATCACGACTCAATCCCCAAATTGGAATCCGGAAGGGAAGCGGAAAAGAGGAAGGCCAAAGAACACACTACGCCGGGAAATAGAAGCCGATATGAAAAGGATGAATAGCAACTGGAAAGGAAGGCTCAGGACAGAGTTGGATGGAGAATGCTGGTGAGCGGCCTATGCTCCTCGACGAGGGGTAACATGCGTAAGAAAGTAAGCATGGGAACTCACTTGCCTGTACTCAAATATAGCATAAAATCGAAAAGATTCAAAATTATCTAAAATACCTGGATTCTTCCAATGGATCTCAAGCATTCTCGCGATGCGTTGCAATTCAAGTGGATTGTCAGGAATAAAGCATGAGCTTTAATATCACTAATAACCTAACAAAAACACAATATTTAAGAAATGAGAAAGTTCACTGAATTTTTGGGGACTAATTAAAATAGGGACCTCCGCAGTCGCAAAGATTCGTTTTCTCTTTAGACAAATAAAATTTAAATCGCAATTGAGTAGTAAACACAAAAAGCATGTAAAGTTCCTTGTGTAACGGCACATGAAGATATCGATATCTCTCTAGCACTTCCACAAGACCTACAGTAGAACATAACATATCTTTTCTGAATCAACATACCCGAAGAAATAACTACTGTTTACTGCATGACACTAATTTTCGAATTAGTTCAGATACTATCAATCGACCTTCAAACTTTTCAGTTTCAGTTTGGAAACTACAGGAGGCTTGATGTCCTGTTTTAGTCCTGGCAATCATGGTCCTTCAGCTGATCCAACTTTCTCTTGAAGGAGTCGACGGATGGAGCCTCAACCACGTGATGACGTAGTGAATTCCACTCGTTGATTATTCGATGGGAAAGTCAGTAGTCAGCTGACAAGCAATTCGT